CGGTGCCGTGCCCGCCGCCGCGGGGCGGGTAGAAGCTGCCTCCTCCCTCCGCCGCGGCCGGGCGCGGTTGCGGCCGCGGAGCTGGAGCCCCGCGCGGGGCGGGCCCGGGCCCGTGTGAACACAGACAGCGCCGGCCGAGCCGCGGGACCCCGGCGCGGAGCCGGGCGGAAACGGCCCTGGGGGAGCTTCAACGCCGCGAGCTCCCCGGCCGAGCCCGCTGCCGCCTCAGCGTTCCGTTTGTGCTTATTAATGCCTATTTGTGGTTATAAATGTTTGTTTGTGCTTGTAAATGTTTTAGTCGTGGCAATGAGGTGTCTCCTCCAGAGCCTGGGCGTCTTGGCAGGTGTGCGGAGGTCTGGCTGCCCCTGCTCGTGTTTATTCACGAGGCTTCCCGCAAAACCGGGGGCAAATGGGCTAAATGCCCCGATTTGGGTTTCTTTTTCATCCTCAATCCTTTCCCATCCAGTTTGATCCTTGTGTTTCTAGAGTCTACAGTGCTGGGCCGGGGATACTAATAAAACCCAGTGAATTTCTTCCCTTCCTTTTTCGTATTTTTCTCATTGGACCTCGAAGGTGACCTGGGGACCCCATGTGTATTTGGTCCCAGTCCCTTGTTCCCCCCTGCCCCCAGCTCCTCCTTTGGGGACATCCTGCACTGGAATGGGACATCCATGGACCATGTTGCCTCCAAAAAGCAGAGCTGAAACTGGCTTTTCTCACCCGCTAGCTCTGCCCATCCCCTTCTCAGTCCCCATGCGCTCTCCTTTCAGACATATATGCATCGATTATATATGTATATTTAATTTTATTCCCATAAGTTTGCTGTAGGAATGTTGTTCAGCCTGCTGAGAGCGTATTATTTGTCTGCTGTGAGCGGTCCCATAAAATCAGAGAAGCAAGAGTGGCATTAAGCTTCTATAGAAGTGCCAAATAAAAAGTGGAGCCCTCTATTTTGTTCTTTTCTGATAACCCACGTCAAGTGACATCAGTGTTTTTCTGTTTGTTTTTTGCATGGGGTTTCGGATGCATCTAGGATCTCCCCAGGAGCTCAGAGGAACTTCGGGATGAAATAGCTGTGGTGGCATCAAAAAGATTTTCTTAAAAGCTTTTCCCAAAGAAGCTTGGGGGAGAGTCAGAAACAAAATAAGCCCCTTCACCCCCACCAATGTTTTGCATCTGAAGTCAACTTAAAACAGAGGAAAAAAATCTAGGAAGTTGTTTAATGACAGACTCTCGTTAACGAACCCCCTGTGAAAGAGTCACGTTGGGCAAAACTGCCGTTCTTTGACCTTGTGGGTAGCTGGAAGGTGGCTGGGTGTAATGTGTTTATATCTTCAGAAAGCTTTAACAAGAACTTTCCTAATAAGCTAACAGAGCAAGGCAGTTGTGAGGAGATGGTTTATTCCTAATGGAGCCCGTCCAAAGCTGGATAGGGAATGTGGAGATCCGGCACCTCCAGCTCCTGTAGCTTTTCTCCTTGGCTTCGCTGACAACAGTGTCAAGTTCTGTGCTTGTCACCTTTTCCTAATCATTAACACACACAAAATAGGGGAAGTCGTGCAGAGACAATAAAACACAAACCAGAGCTTTTTAAAAGTTACTATTTTTCATAATTGAAGTCCCTGTAGTGTCTGCAAGACCAGAAACAGGTCATGAAAATAAGTGAAGAGCCTGGGGGAAATAGGTGGAGAGACTGGAAATTTTGCAAGTTTTTTTCCTTATGGGGGGATTTCAAGTATTTTTCTTCTCTGGTTGATGCTCACCCTTCTGTGGAGACAGGTTAGACTCTTGGTGAAGTCTGCTCTGTTTTGCCCTGACATTTGTGTTCCGTTGGGTCTCTTCACCAAGCTGCATGCGAGACGCTGCAGCCGCCCGTTTGGCTTCGCTCCGCTTCTGGATGCTCCAGCATACATTTTGGTGGTGTATTTCCAGCTGGGATACGTCGCAGGCGAGAACGCTGGATCTGTTACAGTTACTTGCATGTTTTAACACGGATTTTAGCATTTTAAGATTTGCTTTTTCTTCTTTACAGTCCGTGGAGGATAGTCGATGACTGTGGAGGTGCTTTCACGATGGGAGCCATAGGAGGTGGCATCTTCCAAGCTATCAAGGGCTTCAGAAACTCCCCGGTGGTGAGTAGAACCACTTGGCTAGTGCTTTCAGAGTGCAGTTCTGCTGGTTTTTTACCCCCAATGGCAAAAATGGAAAGAAAAAATGGAGGAAGATGAAAAAGAAGAAATCCTTGCACATGGAGTGGGAATAATTAATGACCTGCATGCCGTTAATTGAAACCAGAAGCTGAAATCTGTGGAAAATACGTGGCAGTAATTCTGTGGGGTCTTGGATGGACTCTCGCTGACCGGCAGCAGTGGCCTAAATGGGACAAGCGGTGACGTTGGGTGTCTACAGCGCGAGGCAGCGATTGTAGCTTTCTGGTTTAGGTCTTGAAGACAAGTTTCCCGCTGCCTGCAGATTTATGGAAGTGACAGTTGCTAAAGAAAGTCATTTGATTTGCACAGTCTGCCTCCTGGCTGTTTCTAGCATAGAGAAGAAAAAATACTTCCCATTAATTTTCCCTGCTTACAGAAGGCATGCAGCAAAAATAGGACAAATCTGTTTCACAGGTATTTGAGGATGTTGAGGATGCTCAGAAACATCTGCCCTGCGGCTGGTTTTGGCTCCATACAGATTGTGCCTGCAGAATTTCACTCTGTTTTATTCTAACTTGTTTCTGGTTTGTTGTAGGGTGTAAACCACCGGCTGCGGGGCAGTTTGACAGCTATTAGAACAAGAGCTCCCCAGCTAGGAGGTGGGTGTAACTTTGCATTTTTGTTACAGCTGCATTTGCACTGCTTGTTCTAGGTAACCCAGGGCAGGAATATAACAGGATATGAGTGTGGAAGAGCCTGAGATTCTTTCCAACAGGCCAGCTGCGTTTCAGCAGGGTCTGTGGCAAGAATGAACATTCTCACATTAGAGAAAGGGAGAGGATTTGTTTTGAAATGAACATATTTGACTCATTAAAAGAAACGATCGAGCTTTGAGCTAAATGAAGTAGGTCGGTGGATATGCTGACCTGTGGCAAGCTGGGTAAAAAGTTCACTGATTTTTAAAGAAACACCAGACTCACAGAGCTGTGACTTGAGTCCCAAGGGTGTTCTGGCCTCTTGGAGGTGCCTCAGCATCAAAGTTTGCCCAGAGCTGTGTGCTTCCCGTTACGCTCCTGCAGGCAAGTTGAATTATGATACTAGAAAAGGAGCAAATGGGAGAGTAATTTGGAGTGGGGGATTGTGGTGGCCATAGCTTGTGGTGACTGTGCAAAGAGGAATCCGTCTGCCTGTTTCTCCTTGCTTCTTGTCTAGCACTGAGCTGTCAAAGACATTAAGACCCTTTAAAAATTGTGTTCTGAAAACGGTCACGTTCTCCTTGTGTCTGTCCTATAGCACAGACCAGTGCTGATCTCTCGAGGTGCCAGAATCAGCATTGGGGGAAGATGCTGAATTCTGGTACCTTCAAGGCATTACTTCAGCTTTTTCTATCTAGAACTTCTCTCAGTGAACGGACCTCCATTAGGGTGGCAGTTCCATTATAATTACAGACATTTGCTACATTTTCTGTGATTAATTTGAATCAGAGGCTTCTATAGGTGTGCATTTTGGGCAGATACTATTTTTTTCTACATAGATTTTTTTTTAAAACCCATTTTTTGTTGAGGGCTCTGTTCCTTCAGAGTTTAAATAGGCTTTCATGCCTGAAGGCAAGTGTGCCAATATTGCACCATCCCTCTATGATAAGGCTCCAGTAAAGCACTGGCTGCCTCGCTGCTTGGCCTAAATTGCCTTTTTTCGCCCCAATCTTCTCTCAGGTAGCTTTGCTGTCTGGGGAGGACTCTTCTCCATGATCGACTGCAGCATGGTAAGGATGAGAGGGAAAGAAGATCCGTGGAACTCGATCACGAGCGGAGCCCTGACCGGAGCCATATTGGCCGCAAGAAGTAAGGAATGAAGCTCTGGAAAGATATGAATTAAAAAAAAAAGTTCCATGTTCTAAATGTGCAGTTTTTATCATTAGAGTGAAGCAAAAGCAGATGATATCCAGCTTGGAATTTCCTTATAAGCACAGTAGAATGAAAGATAATCCTAAACCTTTGTCCTGTGCTTATGAAAGTGATAATTATCCTCTCAAATGTTACCCTGTTCTTTTGTTTCCTTGGGGAAGGGGGGCGGTTCCCTAGTAATTATCCTTTTGTTGGTGATGTTAATGAGGCTTAAGGATGCAAGATTGCTGCTTCTGAGTCTGCTCATAGGAGAGATTATAACTATACAATATGCCAAGTAATGCATGAAGAAAAAAGGATGTGTTTTGTACTTTTTATTTTTAGATGGACCTGTTGCCATGGTTGGATCTGCTGCCATGGGAGGGATTCTCCTAGCTTTAATCGAAGGAGCTGGTATTCTGCTAACAAGATTTGCATCCACACAGTTCCCAAACGGTAAGGAACCCTCTGGTGATGTTATTGCGAGGCTTTTATAATGCAGCTTGAACACTTGCACACTGAAAAATAGCCCTTTCTCGGGAAGCAAAGTATGGAAACATCCTGGTTTTGAAACCTCAGCTCCTCTAAGATCATGTTCCATTATATCTTTAGAGTCCAGGTGAATGTACAGTTCAGTTATTAAAAGAAATAACTAGGGAAATGCTAGAGGTGTGGATTTGACTGTCGTGCACTTCCTTCTCTTTCTTTTCAATGTCTTTCCTACTCCCCCATTTAACAAGCATATTTTAAGCACTCAAGTCTCCCAGATAGATACGGTGATAGAAACCCCACCACAAAGCCTGTTTGTGGCCTGTAAGTAATTTTCTGTTCAGTGGAGCTCCCTGTTTCAGCTTTTCTCCTCAAATAAAAAAGATGCTGATGAACCAAGAGCTCAGACATCCCTGGTCTGTGGAATGAGCCCTTTTCCCTGTCCCCTCGTCCATCCACACAACCCTGGCCCCTGGGGCGGATGTGCTTTAGTTCAGCAGCTGGGTAAGGGGTAACGTAACAGGCTCAAAGGAGCAGCAGGTTGTGGGCAAGGGAGGTTGTTCGAGCTCTGTGCCAACGTGTGGGTGGACCCTGGTTTCAGTGAGGGGTAAGGATCAGTGGGCAGAGACAACCCTTCAGAGAGGGATAGCTGTTACGGCGATGGTGTTTTTATTTTTTAAACCATTACAAAAACTGGAGCCACTTTTTTTAAGTAAAATTCAAGCTGAGATTTTGGTAGAGCCAGGTCTGTAACAACATGCATAAATACTTGCCAAAGCCAAATACTGAACACTGGAAGGTGTCCCTCCAGCCCAAGAGCAAGGGCTCTAGTTACATCTCCAAAACCAATCATGTACTTCCAAAACAAATCATAAACGTTTTGCTGAGGCACTTTCCATCTGTATTAACTATTATTTGCATGGCAAGAGTGAGTGCAGGAGTGACTGGGAAGTCCTGCTCTGCGCTGAGCTCTGCCTCGAGGGTTGTTTTGTGCTGGGGCGGGTGCGTTTTGTGTGTTCCTCTAATGAGACGGCAACCCGTATTTTCCAGAGAGCAGAGAGGGAAGTAGGAAGTGTGACAGCTCAGGATATGCGTAGCACAGAGCAAAGTAACGTCCCGGCTTCGGTTGCCCCACCATAGGAGGAATAGAGACAAAAATAGTGTCCAAAGGAGCAGTACTAAGCCGCTAAATCCTCCTTTCAGGTTTGCTACCCATTTTGTGCAGTCTAATTTCTTCTAATCTCTTATCTTAATACAAAAGCATTTTAAATTGCCCGCTTTAGTGTAAGGTTGTCACCTGAGGGTTACAATTTAATCGCTCGCAAAGCGGTGTACCGTAAAACGCAGCCTGTTAGTAAGATGAGTCGGGAAGGCGACGCCGCGGTCGGTTCCGTTCCGCTGGCTGCTTCCTTGGCGGGCAGGTTATTCTGGGCCTGTTACAAGGTGCCCAAGTTCACCTGAAGGGCAGCAAGGCAGAGGATTCCAGCTCCTTCTGGTGACTGCAAATCCATACCTCTCCCTGCGCTCCGGGTGAAAACAGTCAAATGGAAAGTTTTGTTATTGGCTTCATCTATTTTAGAAGGGATTTTTTTATATATAAAAAGAATCCTATGTGTTTGTATTATGCTTTGTCTTTTTGTATTTATTTGTATTTATTTGTATTTATATATATACTTTTGCTTTCCTCACAGGCCCACAGTTTTCAGAAGACCCTTCCCAGCTGCAGCCCTCTCCGTTCGGCGACTACAGGCAATACCAGTGATTAGGCTCCTTCCGATAGTTCCTCTTGTTACGTGAGCTGTAATTTCAGTTGCTGGAGGACCAGGACGTGGTGGGTTGCAACGCCAGCGGCAGTCCCGTATACAAACGATGCCAAGAGGATCTTCGGAGCTTCCCCGTGTAACGGAGAACTTTCAGAAGAGGATTGAGATATTTATTCCTAATAGATTCCATTGCTGTAATGTTCATACGTGTCTGGTAGAATACAAGGCGATTTAAGACAAGGCCCAAGTGGAGTCCTGTAATCCTTGGGCCTGGACAGAAGTGAATTTTCTTTGGCTCTTCCCCGACACGCGGCGTTAATGAGCAGCACGGGAGGTGGCTGGTGCTGAGCCTTGGCCCTGGCAGGTTTAGGTGGCAGCGCAGGCCTCAGCTTAAGGCAGTGAGTACCTCTCCGCAGAGCCATGCTTTCCGCCCGAGGTGAATATTACCTGGAGAAAACGCAAGCCTGGAAAAATTACTTCCAGCAGTAGCTTTTTCACTGTGCTGTCTGCTTCCTAGTTGATTGCCCCGCAAAGGAAGTTGTGCAGTTAAAGCAGACTCTCTCTGCTGGGACTCCCCGGCTGCGGCGCAGCGGCCTTCCTGCAAACTGTCCCCAGGTCCCCTCTGCTGAGAGGCGCCCGCTGGGCCGTCCTGCTGGGGGCCGAGCGCGGAGCTTCGGCTCCAGCGCTGCCTCCCTGGGCTCCCGCGCCGCTCCAAAGGGAGCGGTGCAGAGAGCTTCCCCTCCTAGAGGTGCTCGAGGAGGAGATAGTTGGAGGAACCCAGAACAAAATGAGAAAATAAGCCAGGTCTTGCTGCCAGTTCTTGGTAGAAGGTTCATACTCACCCGTTGGTTTTGGAATATTCTCTGAGCCACTCCCGGGCTTTCGTTCTGCCCGGGAAGGGGCTTAATCGTGTTCCCCTCTGTGAAGGAGCCCCCTGTGACCGGGGAGTAGGAGGAGAGGAGGGGTGGGCTGTGGAAGTGCCCAATGCAGGGGTTGGGAAGGGGGATGGAGGAACGTGTGGCACCCGCACACGCCAGCGAGAGCCCAAATGCAGCTCCTAAGTCCTGGCCCTCAGCCCGTTTCTACGGCCTGGGCCATCCCAAACCCCTCCAGGACTGCCCTGCCTGGACTCCCCAGAGTCTCGGGCCCTGCTGTTTAGCTTAGTTGCTGTGAGGTGGAATTTTCAAAACTAGCAAAAAAAAAAAAAAAAAAAAGTGTATCTGGGTGTTTGTGCAGCTGGAGGTTGTGCTTTGCTACTCTGGGGTGGGCTCCCAGCCCCAAGAAGGGGCCAGTCATGGGTGTTTAAGAATGATTTACACTCAGTGGTGCCTCCCCTGCTTATTAAGCACATGATTTTTCTGTGCTCTCTCCCTGGGAATCAGAGCTTTCCAGCACTGCCCAAGCCCCTGGGCTGCAGGAACACAGGAACCGCTTGAGGGGTTTATTCACCCAGGTCTTTGGGGCCCCTGATGCCCAGTTTGAGGGTTTTATTTACCCGGCTGTTTCTTGCACCTCCAACCCATCCTTGGGGATGGCGCTGGGGAGGGGAACCGTGACTCAAAGGGAGCCGCTTCCCGCTCAGCCTGTGCAGGACAGGGCATGAGCTGAGCTGTCCACACCCCCCCGGAGCCCCCAAGAAACGAGACGGACGCGGCCGGCATGACAATAACTATTGACCTTTTTATTTCGATCAGCTACAGCAGCTCTATGTTCTCCTAAAACACTGTCCTTCCTTCACTACCCACAGACCGCCAGGGAGCCGAGCGCGCTGTGGTGGCAGCAAGTCTTCTTAAAGCTCAGTATTAAATATTAAATATTCTCTCATTTAATGTTTACATTACTTTGTCAAGGAGAAAAAAAAAAAAACGACAAAAAAGACAATTAAAACTTAAGTTACATGAATCTGTGCCCGTGCCCTGAGCAGCAGCGCCAGGGGCTGCGGGGCAGCCCCAGGAAGGCACCGCTGCTGCAGAGGGATATGCAAAAGCTCCGACCTCTGCTCGCTGCGGTGCCCAGCAGGGCTGTGCCAGGAGCAGGGGGTTCCATTTCCTTTCGGGAATGGGATGCCCGGACCGAGTGGGTGACTCCGGCACAGCGAGAACCGGCGGGAGGCGGCGAGGCTGGAGCGCGCAGCCAGGCTGCCCCCGGCCCCTCGTCTCAGCCCCAGCAAAGTGCATGGGAAAGGGGGAGGATTTGGTCAACAGGAACTTCAATAAGAATTTTTCTGTTTCTTTTTCCTCTCTCTTTTTTCTTTTTTTTTTGGAAAAAAAGAAAAAAAAAAATCTGAACAGTTTTGAGTCTTCCTTTGATTTTTTTTCTTTTTTTTAGCAAAGACAAGAATTTAAAAAGCACTTAGGAAGCTTGTACTAAAATCATCAGCTGTTCTCAGAGCAGAGAGTCATCTGTGCACCCGCCTTCGAGTCCGTAACGGAATTCCTGCAAGTTGGAGACACCATAGAAGTGGACAAAGGCCGCGGCCACCACGAGCACGTGGAAGATCTGATGAGACTGGAACTGAGGGGGAGGAAGCAAAAAGTAATTAAAAAACAGCCCTTGGAGCGGGTCTCCATGCCGGGGCAGAGCAAAGTGCGCGTTCCTGCTCCCACACTCACCCAGATGTCGAACTTGCCCGGGAAGAAGCGCTCGGGGATGCGGGCGGCGTAGAGCCCCGCGCCCGTGATGTACATGACGGCCATGAGGAAGAACCAGCCCATCTGGCCGACCGTGGTGGCCTTCACGAAGCCCTCGGCGATGGTAAAGTGCATGGTGGGCACGACGCCGCTCAGCCCCAGCCCCAGGAAGACGCCTGGGGGGCGACGAGAGATGAGCGCGGGCAGGGCCGGCCTCGCGCCCGCTCCCCCCGCACACCCTCACCCCGGGCCCCAATTCCTTGAGCCCCAGGCTCTTCATCCTTCACTAAACGTGGGATTCCCGCTGCACAGAAGGCTCTTGGCGCTCAGCGAAGCGGCTTTCACCTGCTGGGAGCCGTTTTGGAGGCCGCAGCCGCGACACCTCAACCCCAGGAGCTGCAGAGCAGCGCCCGGGCGCCGCCTCCGGGGAGGCAGGTCCCCGAGTGGGGCGGACGAGGCCTCTGCTCCTCTCTGGCTGAGTTGCAGCTTCGCGTTGCCAAAGCCCTTCTCAGAGAAAGCGGCTTCGTGCGGCGCAGGCTTCCCAACCACCACTTAACGGGGCTATTTTTAAACTCTGCCTGCTCCAAAACTCAGGAGCGCCGAGCGCCAGGGCCTGCCGTGCAGACAGCAGCAGCAGAAGACCCCTCGCTGCGGGGCAGTGCGGTGCTCAGCGGGGACCAATTCCACACGTGTTTTGCGGAGCCCCGTGGAGCATCACTGCGGGATCCTGGCTGGGCAGAGCCCCGGGGAGCAGCTCTCCGAGCGGAGCCACGCGCAGGACTCTCCTACCTGCTCTCGTCTGCCTGTGCTTGGGGGTGGCAAACCGGTCCCACTGGGCGACGATGATGGCCGAGATGCCCAGAACGCAGACGATGGAGAGGTAGATGAGTCTTGGCTGCGGGGAGCAGTAGAACGAGTAGTAGAGCCACGGGACGAAGCTCCCCATGATCAGCAGTGCAATTCCTGAATAATCCAACCTGGGTGCAAAGACAGAGAGTTACGGGGGAGCCTGGAAACTAGTCCCCAGCCTGTGTCCCCTTGGTCGGTATCCACTACCCTGTCTGCACCCTAACGGAACTGCCAGACGAAGGCAAACAAGAGCCGGAGCAGCGGGAGAAGGGGCACGGGCAGCTCTTGCCCACAAAGAGAGGGGGAGAAGATCCCAGCTCCTCTGGCAGGTGTAAGTGGAGCTTGGCAGGAGCGCGAGGGGCAAACGGCACTTGCCGGAT